TCTCCTCCTCCTTCTTTTTGGAATCTTCCAAGCTCTTCAGCTGGCGGTAAACTTGCTCAATGTGCGGCGAATTTCCTGTGGAATCGATGGAAGGCTCCTTCAATCGAATTCCATGCCGCTGCACAAGAAATGTGTCAAAGCCGAGCGCCACGTTGATGACCAGCTTCTGCGCGGCGGCGGCCAGCACCGTCGGCAGCCACCGACTCTCTCGACTGTCCATCAGCAGAAAGATGACGTCGTGCTGCGCCACCAGCTCCACCAGNGGCGAATTCCATGCCGCTGCACGAGAAAGGTGTCAAAGCCGAGCGCCACGTTGATGACCAGCTTCTGCGCGGCGGCGGCCAGCACCGTCGGCAACCACCGACTCTCCCGACTGTCCATCAGCAGAAAGANGCTGCTTCACCGTCTTCCGCACAGTGGCCAGTTCTGCAAAAGAGAAAATGAAAAAAGTAAAATAAAGCCAACTACACCAAAGTTGATTAGTGTGCTTACCAAGCGGCGACACTGCGTGTCCGGGCATTGGAATGGCCAGCTGATGGGCTCGGGAGGTGACGCCCGGGTGAATGCGGGAGAGGGCTGCCGCCGCGGCCACCGCCTTGCTCGCCCTCTGACCGCTCTTCCGCTCGGCGAGGCAGTCCTCAAAGGTGTACAGCGACTGGCGGACCGGATTCGAATGTGACACAGTGCCACTGTCCACAAAGGTAATCTCAGAGACGCCCCAGGCGAGCAGGCCGCGGGCGACATTGCAGCCGAGAGTGCCGGCGCCGAGAAGGAGGCAGCGGGCGCTGGCGATTGAGTGCAGGTCAATCTCCGGCACTATGCGCCACTTCATTAGCTCCAGGTTGAGGTGGACGGCGTCGTTGGAGAGCACCTTCGGGTCCAGTTGGCGGCTGCAGTCGACAAAGCGGGGCAGCAGTTGGTTGCCCTTTGAGGAGTTTCGTTCCCAGCCGACGGTGGGCGGAACTTGATCGGGTATGGCAGCTTCATCTAAACTGTTGTCAAAAACAACTCGATGAATGGCTGAGTGCTGGTAGAAGCTGTCCACAACCGATGTTCCGGAGGGTGGCTGATTTGGTTCAGCGAGGTCAGTCAGTCGAGAAATGGTGTGAGGCGGTAGTCGAAGCGAGAGCAGTCGCAGATGAGGAGTGGTCAGTGATTTGGCAATTGAGTCTTCTGTCTTCTTGCCTAACTGCGTCAAGCGGACGTACAGATAGGCGAGGTAGTTGCGAGCCGGCCAGCCAGCGAACTGTGCGTTTGAGCTGGGATCGAGGAAGGTAAAGTATACCTGAAAGGAAGAAACGATGATTAGTGTTTGATTGCTTTGATCACACCTGTTCTACTACCTTAAAATTGGCACTAGTCAATGAGTACACCGTTGTTGACCAAAACTCCCTGAATCCTTTCACGTGCACTTCTTCCGTCTTTTGGTCATCATTTGTAGTGACAATCACTGCAAAGAAGAGCCTGTCGGTACTTGGAAGTTGGCCGTACTGTTGTAGAAGGGAGGCAACCTGATCATCGGTAAAGTGGTCTCGCAATGTCTCACCACTATTTAGTGAAACATCTTCTGAGCAAACAGCGGGAAAGTTGAGCGCCGGAAAGGCGCACCAGTAGTGGTAGGCGTAGCGCTTTAAATCGGCAAAGGCGATTATCAGAAAGCGAGAAAGGTGCCGTTCCAGGTCGCCATCCACTTCAGACTGCCTCTCCTCATTGGTGATGCTCTCCCAGATTGCGCGGCCAGCATCGGCAATCAGCTCCTTCTTATCAGAGGCGCTAAACTCGGCCAGAGTGTTGAAGAGCTTCAGCTGTCCGTACAGGCGGTGTTCACTGTTGTTGTTGCTGCTGCTTTGCTGTTGCTGTTGATGATTCTTATCAGATGCTATATGCTGGAGTGTTTCGTAGTTGAGGCTCGCCAGAGCGGGCAAACTCGAGTTCAGTTCGGCGTGGAATGTGGCAAACAGCTCGAGAGGGGCGTCATCCAGTCGCAGGTGCTCCAGCTTCAGTCGAGAGAGCGAGTACCAGAAGGTGCTGTCGATCATCGAGGAAAAGGGGAGGAACTTTAGCTTCTCCATCAGTTTGTTCTCTGTCGTGGACGTAGACTAAGGTTGAGGTAGTGGTTTGGCGGAGATCAGAAAAGACACTTTGGAACGAGGATTTTATACGTTGTTGCAACGGACCAAGAGAATCAAAACAACAAATGTCGCAATCGGCTGCTCTTGCGCAGTCGCAAAGCGAGCCTCTGCGATTTTCTTTGCGTTTGTCTCTGGAGATTCTTTCGATTTGGAGGATTGATGATCTACGGCGTAAACTGCTGCGTTCCACTTCTTATCACTTAGAACCTCGTCGACATATCTACGTAAGTAGTTGGGCGACTCAACTCTAGTCCCCCACCTTATATCTCGTCCCCTTATCTCTCCCACTCTCAAGTGAGCAACTGTGAGTCTCAAGTTTTTTGTTTTTGCTAAACAAGTGACTTTTCTTTATTAACTGTTTTTGTCGATAATAAAATTAGCTATACTGTACATGCGATCTTAGTTCTTGGGCGTCCAAGTGACTCGGCCGACGACGCTGCCGGAGGCAGAGCCGCCCGTGAGACCCAGNTAGTTTGTTCTCTATCGTGGCCGTAGATTAAGGTTGAGGTAGTGGTTTGGCGGAGATCAGAAAAGACACTTTGGAACGAGGATTTTATACGTTGTTGCAACGGACCAAGAGAATCAAAACAACAAATGTCGCAATCGGCTGCTCTTGCGCAGTCGCAAAGCGAGCNCTGGAGATTCTTTCGATTTGGAGGATTGATCATCTACGGCGTTAACTGCTGCGTTCCACTTCTTATCACTAGAACCTCGTCGACATATCTACGTAAGTAGTTGGACCACTCAACTCTAGTCCTCCACCTTTTATCTCGTCCCTTTATCTCTCCCACTCTCAAGTGAGCATCTGTGAGTCTCAAGTTTTTTGTTTTTGCTAAACAAGTGACTTTTCTTTATTAACTGTTTTTGTAGATAATAAAATTAGCTATACTGTACATCCGATGTCTCAGTTCTTGGGCGTCCAGGTGACTCGGCCGACGACGCTGCCGGAGGCAGAGCCGCCCGTGAGACCCAGGTGAAGCTCGCGGTGGTTGTCGCCGTGGGAGAGCAGCTGGGGAATGGTGAGCGAGGCGCCGCCGAGGAAGATCTTGTTGGCGGCTCCGGTGCCGTGGCTGTCCCACACCTCGAAGCTGACGCGCGAGTCGGAGACAAAGAGGTACTTGCCGCTGCCGGCGCAGACGTCATTCCAGAAGGGGTGGCTGGTGCTCGACTGCAGGTTCGTCGAGCAGGAGACGCAGCTGGCGCGGTTCTGAATGGGCAGCGTCAGCGGCACCGAGGAGTTCTGAATGCAGACGGTGGCGTAGGCGTTGGCCGCCCGGGAGAGCGTCGCTGAGACGACGTTGATGTCAATGTGGCCGAGGTTGTTTGAGCGCTGCACGCAGACGCCGTGCTGGCAGACCTGGGGAGATCAACAAGAGAGAAAGAACGGTTATGAAAATGATCAAGAAGTCGTTCAACCCAGTTCACCACCACCACTTACACCAGCCGAGGCGAGGGGGCAGGGCAGGCCCTCGTTCATCTCGTGGACGGAGGTCTTGCCGTGAATCACACAGCGGAGGAGGCACTGGGAGTTGCTGTAGGCCGTGGCGGTGTCCACGTCAACGTGGTGCAGCGAGCGGCACTTGGCCTGGGCGGCCGTGTCGGCGCTGGCGCCAGCCCAGCACAGGGCGACGACGAAGAGGGAGGCGAGGAACTGCATGGTCAGTTTAGTTGAGGAAGGTATTGTCACCGGTGTCTACTGGGAACTGATTTTAGAAGAACGATCAAACTGTTTTTATAGCACACTGCAAACAAATAGTGGTAATGGATACACCTGTGGTCGGTGGTGGGAGCCAGTACTGCCACCACCACAGCAAATGTAGCTTTGCAGTAAGGCGATAAGGAAGAGAAAGGTGTGAGCTATCAACAACCACACATCAACCAGAGAGAGACCCCCCGCTGAGAAGAGGGGACTGTGATAAGATGGAAAGAGAGCTAAGAGTTGTGGTGATGGAAAACAACAACAGTTATTACAATGATTACGACGATTACGACGATGGTCTACTTAATTAGCAGATGATGATGGGTAATTGCATGATCAGTGTTGGTGATGGTGGTTGCAATGCTGACCAGTAATCGAGGTGAAAGCTTTCCTTTGTACCAGAGTTTATCTACCTTTTCTAGAAACTGAAAATGAGGAAGTCTGCATCAACAAATGACCTGCTGTATCAGTTATTCTCAGTAAACAATCAACCTGTTGTTTACTTTACTCAACCTAATTGCTCTGTTTTCTTTTCCAATAAACAGACTGCAATGAGCTTTTGCTAAATGGTTCAGCAGCTAACATTTAAAAGTTGCAGCATCCTTTGCGCCAAACTGTTTTGGGTAGATTCTGGCTTCGATTTCTACTTTGCAGTTTGCGACAAGTTTGTTAAGAGTTTCTCATTGCAGTCGGCAACAGCAGATAACTTTCCATCTAACAAATCATTTAAAGCGATATGATTAAGCTACTGATGTCAGCCATCGAGTGTCACCTTAGACTTTAAATTGGTAACTTTTAAATTGCCACTTTCACTTCCAATCGTACTCAGTTGATTGTTGCCGACTCTCTTTCTTTCTTGAGTGGTTGTCGCTAAACTCTACTTTTTTTTGCCTTGCTCAATCAATCTGATCTGGGCAATAGGCGCTCTNAATTGCCACTTTCGCTTTCAGTCGTACTTAGTTGATTGTTGCCGACTCTCTCTTGAGTGGCTGTCGCTAAACTCTACTTTTTTTGCCTTGCTCAATCAATCTGATCTGGGCAATAGGCGCTCTGTTGCCTTTGTTTTTTATTGCCGCAGTACAATGTTGCATCCTTTTGCAGTGGCTGATGCTTGCTGATTGGCAAACTAAAGCCCAACTAAAGCATCTTAAATTGACCTTTAGATAGCTCTACTTGCACAACTTCTTTGCTAGCTGGTTGTTCAGTTTGTAGGCTTCCCCTTTCCACTTGAATGCCACTGGAAGGCGCTTTTCGTCGAGGACAAAGAAGTTGCCAATCTCCTGAGCTAGCGTCGAGCGAATGAGTCCATAGCCGCCGAATCGTTCGTCTGCAGGGTGGTAAATTCGACCGCCGTGTTTGAGGATGCCACCCTCCTCATCCTCTTCATCCTCGGCCTCGCTGATTGATTCAGGCCGCATGTACAGTGCCTCAGGAATGAAAGGGTAGAGAAGGTCGGAGAAGGCTATCACCAGATTGAATGGCTGTTGATTGCTGGCAGACGAACTGTCCGGGGTGTTAGGTACAATGTGCGTAAAGACAATGGGTACATCGTCACAGCGAATGAAGTTCCGCTCAATGCCGCACAGTGAGACGTAGGGAAACTCATCTTGATATCTGGGGTCGGGAATAAATGAGTTGTCAGTTCCGAATTGTAGAGTCAAATCAATCAATCAAGTATTTGCCTGCCGGTACTGTTGTTCTTGATGTTCTTGAAGAAAAAGTTTAGAAATACCTTCTCCTTGAAGCACGAGGTAAAGTTCTTCATTCGAGAATCATCTAAAAATAGCTAAAACATTTTAGTGAAAATGATTGATTCAGAGAAACAGCCCATACCATGCCATTGTGGTCTATGAAATAAAAATATTCCCGAATCTTTGGCTTGTTCGGATCATTTTGCCCTTGTGTGTAGTTCTTGACACTGGCAAAGGAACGATGAAAAGTAAGAAACGGGATAGAACATTGTGGCCATAAGATTTTTGTCATCTGATAACACCTTCCCAAACTGTTTATCATCGTTTACAAGATTTAAAAAGTGCCAAATTATGAAAAATCGCAAATGTACTTTGAAAAAAATCGCAAACAACTGTCCTGGTGTGAGTGGATGGGCCAATGTTTTGAAAATTTTTTGCAGTCGACTAAAAAAGTCAAAACTTGAAGAATTTTTGGTTCTTTTGGAATCCGACACTTTTTGAGACAATGAGCTACGTAGAAGTGGACGACTACGAATCATCTAGCGATGATGAAGGATTCGAGATGATGAGGAAGCCGGTTTTGCCGGTAGCCGACTTCACCGAATACGATCCCTCCGTTCCACCGCAAACCGGTGCAGAGTACCTGCGGCGTGTTCAGCTCGAAGCAAAGAAAGAGCCAAAGTTTAAGGTGGCTTCCAATTTGGCCGATATCCGCTGTCGGACGCTAGCTGTTGGAAGCGGTAATCACTTGTTCACCTCCGAAGAGCTAGACAGTGATGAGTTCATTCCATCAAAGCCGCAGTTTCGCCTTTCCCAAAGTGCCACCTCTCAGGTGATCTCCACTTTCAACAGTTTGCGTGAAGAAGTAAAATGCCGACGAGCTGAGCACAACGAGATGATCGACCTGAGGCGACCTAAGAAGTGGTGGAGGAATTACTGTCTGGTTCGCAAAGAAGCGGAAGAGACGGATGAACAGCAAGGAGGAGACATGCCGACTAAAAGGACGCTGAACTCGTCTTATCAGCCACTGCTACAGTACAGCATCAACCTGCCTCGCCTATCACTGCTCGCCCAGCTAGACCACAGTACGATACTCCTTCTGCTGAAGTACTTTTACCAGTGGATTGAAGAGGAGTTCACCGTTGGCCACGGTCTGTGGGTCTACTCGCTGCTCGCCACGCTGGACACTGACGTGCAGACAGGCGACGTGTACAGTCTGTTGCGGGAGATTGCCCGCCTCTGCAGCCGCATCAGGCACCGAATCGAGATGAAGATTGAAGGGGAAGTGGAAAATGTGAATGATGACGGTGATAACCAGATTGATCTACAGCAAATATCGTCTCTGAGCACTATCATCCTCTTAGTTGGACGCTGTTTCGGGCAGAAAGACCTGCTCGATGATCAGTAATTTGTAATACTTCTTTATCTATTTCTGTCAATTGATATCCATCATTTTCATGTTCATATTTCCAAAACATGTTACTAAGTTTTCATAAACCGTACAACAGAGAGTTGTACAATCATCAAATTAATTTGTGGTGCAAAACGGTGCATCTATTTTGAGAATCTATTGTGATCCTATCGGCCAGTGTTGTGTTGTCATTTTTTGGCACTTTATTTTTTCCTCGCCGGATCGTCGAGGATTCTATTTTTTGTGGAATATCTTGAGTTTATTTTCACTTATGGAAAACATTGTAAGTGTTTGCTTTCTCCATTTAAGAGGGTGGCTAACTTTTGGTACTAGGACTTTTCCGCCTTTTCTGAGGACGACTTTGACCCAGTCCGGTGGCTCAATGACATCTTCTCCACCGGCGAAGCCGGCAACGGCAGCACATTCCCCAACAAGGAGATGGCGGCCACTAATCTAGTGTACAAGCTGCAGCTGATGGTCGAAGAGACAAATCACTCGCTGGAGGAGATCGCCCAGCGGATGGCCCACTCGGTGCCAAAGGTGATCGGCGAGGCGGAGGTACTAGGGCGAGAGGCCGCCGAACTGCTCACCGAAGTCTCCGACGTCCGCACGAAGATGCTCCTCGCCGGGCAGCAGTCTTCAGAGGTGGCAGTGGACAGCCTTTCACAGTTGGACCAGGCGAAGCAGCGTCTTCAGGAGACGTACAAAGCACTGCAGGAGGCGAACAACTGGACCACTCTGACGGCGGACGTCGAGGAGGTCTTTGAGAGCGGTGACACCGAGCAGATTGCCAGCAAACTGGCCAGCATGCAGAAGAGCCTGGAGGTACTCTCCCTTAGCTCATCTCAACAGTCCACCGCTCAAGGAGCGCCGCTGAATGACCTGAAGGAGAAGCTGGCCACGCTGGAAGCGCTGAAGGACCGCTTTGAGAAGCTCGTCGAGCCGGTGCTTGTGGGCGCCTTCCTCGCCGGCTCCAGCCAGAACACCTCCTCCTCATCTACCTCCTCTCAAAAGTCAATTGAATTCTACTCGAAGCTCTTTCGCGAACTGCACCGCTCGGACCGTCTGCTATCCGCCTACCATCGTTGTCTACGAGACCAACTGCTAAAGGAGTGGTCGACCACTGTGCGCCTTGACCCGGAGGAGGAGACGCTGCTCAACTGGCTCAACTTTCTCTACGACCGCCTGACGGTGCTCTGGAAGACGCAGATGACCTTCTGCATGAAGGTCCTCTACCCGGAGAACTTTGGCCAGTCGCTGAAGACGCTTTGTGACATCTACAGCGACATTGTCATGTCACTCGACCCGACCATCGAGACCTGTCTGGTGGCACATCTTCAGCGCCAGCAACAGCTGCAGCAGTCTGCCGCACCGCTGCACAAAAATCTCGCCCGACAGAACGCCCTCATTCAGCTGAAACAATTGACGAACGCCTTTATGCGCACCATCGAGACGAACATCCTCGAGCAGTACTCGGGCGCGGAGCGGGCCAACGACTTTGTCCCTCGGGTCTCCTCCTTTGACATTTTCATTCGCACCATCTACCGCCCGCTGGCCGCCGCCAATGAGACCTTCATTGCGCTGGAGAGAGACCGCCTCAATGCTGAGTTTGAGTTCTACCTGGCAGAGGACAACGAAGAGGGAAGTAATAGTGGTGGTGGTGGTAGCGGCGGAAGCAGCAGCGCTCACCGGAACATTGTCAGCTCAGAGTGCGTCATCAAGCTCTTTGTGGCGGCGCGAGGCTCGCTGAAGCTGTACGGCGAATTCGTGCAGTCTTATCCAATTCTTCTCGTCGACCAGGCCATTGAGCCCTTTCTGCTGCGCTTCTTTGACCAGTTCAGGGGCGCCCTTCAGGAGAACATTAATCGCCACCTGAAGAAAGGCAGTGGTGGTGGTGGGGCGTCTTTGGGAGGCTCACCAGTCACCAACACCGCCAGCTCTAGTCATCGTCGGAACAACTCAGCCAGCAACAACCTAACTGCCACTGGAAACAACAGCAACACTGGCAAACTAAAGTCTTCAAGCTCGAGCAGCTCACTGGCGGCTACAGTCGCTGCCGCCCTCTCCGGCTCCTCCACGCCCAACTGGCAGGTCATTCAACAGGCGCTCTTTATTTTCCAAATTGTGGGCGAGTTCACCCTGCAGCTGGAGAGACTGCAGCAGCAGGTGCACAGCAGTCTGCTGAATGAGCATCAGAAGTGCACTCAAGAGGCAGTCAAAGCAGAGAACACCACGTCAGTTGAAGCAGAATCTTCTGAAGTAGAATCAAAGACCAGTGCACACAACACCCCCACTTCCATCTTCTACTTTAACCGCTTCGACATTTTCATTCTCAACCTCGACTCTAACATTGAGCTTCGCGACCAGATTGAGGGCTACCTTCAGCTGCCCGCTTCCAGTCTGAATGAAGGCGGCAGGAAAGGCATTCTCGGGCAGGTGCATTCGGAGTGCGTCAAGGCGGCCCAGGCCAGCGGTCAGGCGGTCCTCGACGCCGTGCTCGACTTTGTGAACGCCCATCTCTCGGCCTTTATGGCCACCATTCGACTGCAGCTGCAGAGCAGCAGTGGTGGCAGTAGTGGCGACCTGTCAGCAGCACATGGTCTTCAGCGGAAGTTCTCCAGCGAGGAGGAGGACGCCTCCGAGGACTCGCTTTCCTTCTCGCCCACCGAGTACATCACCCAGATTGGACAGTACCTGCTGACTCTACCTCAGCACCTGGAGCCCTTCAACCCCAATGAGAATGCGGCGCTGAAGTGCGCCCTTCGACACTCGGTGGACGTCTTCACCGGAGGAGGAGTGTCCACAGGAGGAGGAGTGCTGACAGCTGACCAGGCGGAGCGAATTGAGAACGCCACCACTGAGCTCCTGCTGGACGCCATTCTCCGCCACACCACGCGTGCCTTTCTCAGCCACCTGCTCAAGCTGTCCTCTGCCGCTGCAAAGATGTCCTCCACCACCACCACCACCACCAGCAATTCCCAACAACAGCAGACGCCGACAAAGAGTGGCAGACGAGCGCTGTCGGCCTCGATGCGCAAACAGATCGCCATTGACCTCTCCTACCTGGTGGCCGTCTGCGAAGATCTCGGGCTGACCGCGTCGTCCTCCACCTCCACCGACCACCACAGTGCGCAGTTTGCCCTCCTCGTGCGGGTCTTCAATGAAGTGCACAGCACGGAAGACTTTCAACAGGTGGTCCTGCAGGATGGAGGCAGCCATGGGCAGATGCTTCAGCTTCTGGAGGAGATTATGCCCTTTTAGAGAAATTGTATGAGATGTTGAATAAAATTGTCCTTAAATTGTTTACAGATTTGAGCTTTTTTGCCGGCTTGTTTCGCCGGGTACGTCGTTTGCGCGCGGATTGGGTGTTTTTGTGCTTTGTTTTTGTTTCCAAATCTGCTGTTGTCGCCGATTTGCTGTCAGTTCCACTTTATCACACTGTGGTCTTTGTACAATCAAGCTTATTGTTCTGCTGTTTTTCCTAATTGTACAGTGCTACTGGTTGCCAAGCTGTTCGGATTCTACAGCATCAACGTCAGAGAAAGGTGTGAGTGTCAGCTTTCAAAGTTTTTCCAAATCACTTTTCACTGTCATCGCCTTGACCGGCTTGCCTGTTCNTTTAGAGAGATTGTATGAAATGTTGAATAAAGTTTTCCTTAAATTGTTTACAGATTTGAACTTTTTTGCCGGCTTGTTTCGCCGGGTACGTCGTTTGCGCGCGGATTGGGTGTTTTTGTGCTTTGTTTTTGTTTCCAAATCTGCTGTTGTCGCCGATTTGCTGTCAGTTCCACTTTATCACACTGTGGTCTTTGTACAATCAAGCTTATTGTTCTGCTGTTTTTCCTAATTGTACAGTGCTACTGGTTGCCAAGCTGTTCGGATTCTACAGCATCAACGTCAGAGAAAGGTGTGAGTGTCAGCTTTCAAAGTTTTTCCAAATCACTTTTCACTGTCATCGCCTTGACCGGCTTGCCTGTTCTTTTATTCAGTCTTAAATGATGGTCCTCTTTTGGTGATGGCCAGTTTCTGGTGATTTGTGTGATACTTTGTAGACTAAAGTCTCGTTGTGTTTTTTATTATCACCACTATCACTTGCGGTTTCCCGCTTAATCATCGTCGTTATAATCGTGCCCTGAGCTAGAGTCNTTTTTTATTCAGTCTTAAATGATGGTCCTCTTTTGGTGATGGCCAGTTTCTGGTGATTTGTGTGACACTTTGTAGACTAAAGTCTCGTTGTGTTTTTTATTATCACCACTATCACTTGCGGTTTCCCGCTTAATCATCGTCGTTATAATCGTGCCCTGAGCTAGAGTCGGTGCTAAAGCTGTTGTGCTCTTCAAACTGTTGAACCACTGACTGTCAGCTTATCTCGCACTCTCTCCCTTTCTAAAACTGGCTATTGCAATAAAAACACATATTTTTTCCCCATTAGCTTTCCATCGTTACCGTCGCTGTGTGCCTTTATCGCCGTGCATTCTCTCTCTCTCTCTCTCTCTCTCTCTCTCTCTCTCTCTCACTTTTTAATATATAAATCGACTCCGTGTGCTGTGACGAAGATCCTCTGCAAGTTTCGGCTCATTTTACAGTTGTCATTATCTGCTAACTTTACCCTATCATCATTTACCTCACCAACATGGCTGACGAAAATCTGCAAGCTATTTTCAAGTAATGTTCTATTTTTTGCTGTTGTTTTCAGCTTACCTTCTTATCTTCCCCCCATTCCTGTGGCAGGACTATCGACGACAACGTTGCCGAGTACATTAAACGCCTCTCCGAAGCGGTCGCCGTCAAGTCGGTGTCGTGCGAGTTTGAGCGGCGCAATGACACCATTCAGATGGTGAAGTGGTTCGAGCAGCTGCTGAAGAAGGAAGGCGCCACCACTGAACTGGTGGAGATTGGCCCTCAGACCTTTCCCGATGGTCGCGTGGCGCCCTATCCGCCCGTTCTGCTCGCCCAACTCGGCGACGACCCAAAGAAGAAAACCGTCTGCATCTACGGACACTTGGACGTGCAGCCGGCGGCCAGAGAGGACGGCTGGGACACTGAGCCATTTGTGCTGACGGAAAAGGACGGCAAACTGTATGGACGCGGTAAGTCGTGGAATATCGTTTAGGCGGGAAAAAATTCCTAAAACTTGATCATTTCTTTCATGCCAACTTCTGTTTAGGGTCAACTGACGACAAGGGACCAGTGCTCGGCTGGCTGCACGCCATCCAGGCCTTTAAGGCTAATAAAATTGATCTGCCGGTCAACTTTAAGGTTTGCTGAGATTCGAGGATTGTGTTTCTGCCCCCTTCTAATACTAATCATTTTTACAGTTTGTCTTTGAAGGCATGGAAGAGTCGGGCTCCGAAGGGCTGGACGAAATTGTCCTCGGTCGAAAGGACACCTTCCTCAAGGACGTCGACTTTGTCTGCATCAGCGACAACTACTGGCTGGGCACAAACAAGCCCTGTCTGACGTACGGCCTGCGCGGCCTGAGCTACTTTTGTCTGGAGGTGGAGTGCGCCGCGAAGGACCTCCACTCTGGCGTCTACGGCGGCAGCGTCCACGAAGCAATGACCGACCTGATCAAGTTGATGTCGAAGCTGGTGGACAGCCGCGGCAAGATTCTCATTCCGGGCATCCTCGACTCGGTGGTGCCGATGACCAATGAGGAGGAGAAGATCTACCATGAGATTGACTTTAGCTGCAATGAGTTTCGCTCTGAGGTCGGCAGTGAGCGGCTGATTCACGAGGACAAGGTCAACACGCTGACGCATCGATGGGTAAGAAGTGTGCAATGAGAAAACAGTTTAAGAATGAGCATCATTATTTTTCTCTGCAGAGGTTCCCCTGCCTGTCAATTCACGGCATTGAGGGCGCCTTCTACGGCCCTGGCTCAAAGACGGTCATTCCGAAGAAGGTAATTGGGAAATTTTCAATTCGCCTCGTGCCGAACCAGGAGCCAGAGGCGATTGGAAAGCTCGTCAAGGACTACCTGACGGAGGAGTTTGCCAAGTTGAACAGCCCCAATAAGTTCAACCTGGTGATGGCCAGCGGTGGACGACCGTGGATGGCCGATCCCAAGGATCCCAACTTTATCGCCGGTCGAAAGGCAATGAAACAAGGTGAGTGGAAGACGTTTATTGGTTATTGTTTATTTACAAATGAATTATGGTTTTTGCCGTTGTGTGCAGTGTACGGCGTTGAACCGGACCTGACACGAGAGGGTGGCTCCATTCCGGTGACGCTGACCTTTCAGGAGGCCACCGGGAAGAATGTGATGCTGATGCCTATGGGCGCCGCCGACGATGGCGCCCACTCGCAGAACGAGAAGATTGACAAGCGCAACTACATCGAGGGCACCAAGGTCATGGCCGCCTACCTCTACGAGCTGGCCAAGCTTTGAGCTTTCGGATGAACTGTACTGCTTTCTGAGCTGACTGAAGTGTGTGACTGAATTAAACGCCGAAATTACCGTTGTTTNTACGAGCTGGCAAAGCTTTGAGCTTTCAGGTGAACTGATGTACTGAACTGCTTTCTGAGTTGACTGAAGTGTGTGACTGAATTAAACGCCGAAATTACCGTTGTTTCTAATCATCACCATCATNCAAGCTTTGAGCTTTCGGATGAACTGTACTGCTTTCTGAGCTGACTGAAGTGTGTGACTGAATTAAACGCCGAAATTACCGTTGTTTCTAATCATCACCATCATCAGCTAAAGAGATCGGCCAGCACCTGCTTCCAGAGGCGCGTCTTGTTGACCAGTCGGCGGTAGTATTGCGCCTGGCTGGGCTCGATGGAGAAGAAGACCTGGTAGAGGAGGAAGAGGAAGAGCAGGCCGATGAGCAGGTTGTAGATGAGGCCCATGGTGGTGGTGGTGGTGGTCGGTTGCTTTGCTGCTGCTGTTGCTGTCAAAAGTCCACTCGAGGTAACGGTCAGATGAGATCTGAGAGGGAGAGAGGAACAAATTGGCGGTGTTCTTGTATCTTTGAGGGTTCAGTTGCCCTTTCTCTTTTGTCAACTCATCCTCGGGCGAATGACACTTGACAACACCTGTGTGTGTTTGTATGTCTTTTTTGCGCGCAGTCATCGTCATTGGCAGTACTGCTGGCGGTACCCTCCTCAAACTCGGTCAAGGCGAGAATCAGCATGACGTGATGTAATTGCCCCTGTCGCTGTTTTATTGAGTTATGTAATTGCTCTATATTTTTAGATCACAGTCTCTCGCTGATGAAGCGGCCAAAGTAGTTGGCTTCGTCTTCCGGTTTGATTGCCTGCGGGTGCTCTTGTGGTCTGTTCAAAAAATGAGTAAAATGAAATGTTGAGATAGAAGGTAGAATGATTGATTGCGAAACATACTTGATGACAAATTGAAGTTGTCTCGGGTACCGCTGCTGCTGCTGCATGACCAGCAGAAAGGGCGGCACCAGTTGACCTGCCCCGGCAAGAAGGGGCGCCCAGCGAATGATTTCCGCGTCCTCCCAAGAGCGGTACACTGTTCGGTGAAGGGACAACTTCTGGCTCTGAAGACTGCCATCACCAAATCGGAGCATCAACTAAAAATGAAACGATATTTATTCTTGAGTGCCTGATTTGCAAATCTCTCTTTTACCTCTTTTCCAGTAAGGGATGGGGTCCACTCTACTACTACCACAATCGTCTTTTGGTTTTCTTCTGAATCTATCAAGGTTATCAGCTGCTCAAAGTAGAGTGGAGCAAAGTGCGGCCATTCAGATGGGAACTGAGNCGTTTTCTTCTGAATCTATTAAGGTTATCAGCTGCTCAAAGTAGAGTGGAGCAAAGTGCGGCCATTCAGATGGGAACTGAGACTTGTTGCACTGCTGTTGCTGCAGCTGATTGCTGTGGTTGTCTGCTCTAAACTTGCTGATGGACTTTACCACCGAGGGGTAGAACAGTGCCTGGCTGTAGATGTTTGCTGACAGGAGCAAAGAGCAATTCGGGTGAGCTAAAACTCATCATCAAGATTAAAAACAGTACTGCTGCTTACGAGAGAGCTCAGTGCCAACGTCAGTAGTATTAGGTCGAGGAGGAAATAATTTAAAGGTGGGCACTGATGACACGCTGTACCGTCTGCAGACTGCACTCCACTTGCCCTTTCGGTCCTCCTCTGCACAGGCCACCACTGAGATGTCCACCAGTCGGCTGCTCCAGCCTGCCCTCTTTGTCCTTCCGATGAACTGCTTAAAGAGGGGCACCATATTTCTGCAGTGGCTACACCATCCCGCGTAGAAGAGCACGAGGTGTATTCCGCCGTCCACTCCGCCCTCACTAAGAAACTGGGTGGCATTGCCCTCCGTCAGAATGTTCACACAGTCCGCAGTGCTGTACAGAAGACGGCTGTGACCGAGATTGGCAGTGGTCGTCAGAAGAAGGAGAACTGTGGGGAGCAGGAGGAAGATGACATGATGGGTAAGTGGTGTCATCGTTTACACCAAAGAACCTTTTGAGTTTTTAACTTTTAGCATTTTGTTTTTTGTATCCCTTTAAATGCCGACAGCTGAAAGAGTAAAGCGTTGCAAATTAAACTCTTCCACCACCCAAACACCGACGTCAATTAGCGGACAAAAAAGTGTGTGTGTGTTGAAAGTTTTAATCGGTTGTGACGCCAGAGTGGCATGTTGCACTTTGTGATGGGGTGATGAGCTTTTTTAGATAAGGAAAAGTCGATTTGTTATAGCCATTGCTGTTATGATATTTTAAAGGTGAACGTATTTTGAGAATGCTGTTTTGTAGAATGAAAGAAGTGGAAAAATTGTGTTCATCATAGAAGAAATAGTAGTGTATTTTAACAGTTATAAAGAGCAATGTCACTATCAGACGAGACGACTGCAAATGGATAGTGGACACTCTGAGCAGTCGCTCTCAGTTGATCATCGAAGAGAACCAGTCGAAGGATTTTAATGGGCAAGTCAGCAGTCATCACCATTTCCTGAAATGAAGTGCTTGCAGTGCCACTAGCCATGAAGTAGCAGTCCGACTGGACTACAGCCAGTCGACGATCTTTCTGTAGGAAAACTGGTAAAAGGTGCACTTTTTGAGAAAGTCGTTGCATCAACACAAGAACTCCTATCACTTTGTCTTCCGTGGCAGCTGAGTTATTGTTTGACGACTCTGGTAGCTTGATATGTGAAAGTAAAATCAAGTGGTCCCTCTTTTGATGATCGACCAAGATTTTCGGCGTTTCCTGGTTTTGCTTGGTTGCACCAAGGCTGATGTTCGGTTGTTGACGCTCACTAAAGTTGACCTTGTACTGCAGGACCGGCTGCTGCTTGAGCCACTGTTCATACTCAATGAACGATTTGATGCCAAGTTGTGTTTTGATGTTTGTTTTCTCCATTTGATTTAGTGTAATTTTTGGAACAACAGTTTTTTGTTAGCAAAAGCTTTTCAAAGGCCATTGTTGTGCTTCTAAATTGAAAAATTCAATTTCCTGATTTTTCATTTTTGTTTTTTCTTTCAAGTTGCTTACTTGTGATTATCTTTTTGACATGAGTAGTGACGGTGCTCAGAGGAGGAAAAAAAGTGGTAACGGTGGCAGTATCGATCAAGGTGTGCTCAACAAAAGTTATTATTTTAGTAGTGGTCGTTGTGACCTCTTTGATTCCGGTGCATTTCATTATTAGTAATCTCAATCAATGGACATTGATTTGCAATTGCTTGCTTTGAGTAATTAGTCATTACTCTGATGTGTGTTTATACGGTTTTTACTCTACCTCNGTGTGCTCAACAAAAGTTATTATTTTAGTAGTGGTCGTTGTGACCTCTTTGATTCCGGTGCATTTCATTATTAGTAATCTCAATCAATGGACATTGATTTGCAATTGCTTGCTTTGAGTAATTAGTCATTACTCTGATGTGTGTTTATACGGTTTTTACTCTACCTCTCCAAACCTACAACGACAGCAGCAACAGCTTCTCTACGAGGAAGTGAAGCGCCTCGACCCATGCCATTTAGTTCGCCTAAATGATAACCAAATAATGTACTGCTGCTCCTTTCACTACTCTAGAGTAGCCCAGTTTTTTTCGCAATGAGCAAAGTCTACTAACGGTGATGGTGATGGCAGTGGTTGTCGTAATGTTAGCTTTTTGGTCGATGTCTGCATGTGTGTGCGGTGCTGTGTACTAAATTGCGGCAGTATTTCAGTGCACCGCCAGGACAGGTACTTGGACAGATTTTTGGCCACCGCCGTCGTCGCCGGTTGTTTTTTGCTTGACTGGCTGGTGATTTTTAGCTGCTGAAAGGTGTGTGTTTAACAACTTTTTAAAGGGTTGTTTAGTTGTTTAGCCTAGTCTAACATTGGTCACTTTCACTTTCTTTCACTTACATCAGATGTCCAAGCTACTCGTCAACCTGGCACTGCTCAACACGAAGGCACTGGTCAATGCCTATACGCTATCGACACTCCCTTTTTATGCGGCATTCCAACGCCCATGGCGGCAGGTGAAGATTGCCAAATCGACCTTCAACATGCGTGTCATACTGGACAATCAGGGACGACTGGTGTACTCGAGACCGTCCCGACTGCCCGATGACAAGCCGGTCTACAAGTGTCTCACCTTTGCCGAGATACTGCCCACGCTAGATCGAACAAGGGAGGTAGTAGGCATCAGAGATGTGCTCTCAGAGACGGCGGCTCTCGATGAGAAGGGACGACCGATTCGGGTGGAAGGACGAGAGCTGAAGAAGCTCCAACTGGCGCCAAAGTTCCGCTGGCTCACCATCGGCCAGGTGAGCTTAGCCTTTCATTTCCAGACAGAGTTTTGTTCTGACTGTTTTCATTTCATTTTCCCCTGCAGGTAATGGACCGTGTCGACGCAATTGCTCGTGGACTGAAGGGATTGGGCCTGGAAAAGGGCGACAAGGCGCTAATCTATGCAGAGAACAGCCCCGAGTGGTTCTTCACCGGACTAGCACTTGCCCGTCTCAATGTAGTCTGTGTGACGCTTTTCTCAACCCTAAATGATTCAGGCGTAGTTTATGGCATCAATCAATCTGATGCAAAGGTGGTGATCACCTCGCAGTACCTTCTGCCAAAGGTGCTCTCCTATGCCGACCAGCTGCCAGCTGTCGAGAAGATTGTCTACTTTGAGAATCCACGCGAGCCCATCAGTTTGCCGAGCGACTCAACCATTCCCGTCACCACGCTGAGACAGATTGAGACTGCCGGCGAGAGGACGCCAATGTGCGAATTTGAGAAACCAGACCCCGATGATATTGCGGTGATCATGTTCACCAGCGGTACCACTGGCGATCCGAAGGTAAGTGTGAATTGAAACAAATATCGTGTTCCTTGATAATCCTTTTCATCTGTTTAGGGAGTGATGATCAGTCACAAACAACTGTTCACGAGTGTACAAAACATGCTTCGAATGGACGAGGAGTATGGCAGTCTGGGCCAAGAAACGGATCACACTGCCTACCTTCCAATGGTTTGTTCTCATGAATAAATGAAGTTTGCTTATTTCAATTTTATTCAACACAGGCGCACATGTTCGGATATGTTGTCAATATCGCAATACTATCAACTCGCGGGCGGCTAGGATTCTGCTCGCCCTTCACACTGCTCGATTCATCGCCCTCACATGTTCCCGGACAAGTGGGTGATATTAAGTAAGTGATATTGATGAAAATGAACTGAATTTAATTGTTTTCAATTTCAAGGCTACTGAAACCAAAGTACTTTGTCGCTGTGCCGCTCGTTTTAGAACGCATCCTCAAAGAAATCTATCACAAACTGCACGCCAGAGGCCCCCTTGCACCGGCGCTCTTCAACTACTTTATGGACTACAAGATCAAGTGGACGGCCAAGGGCTATGATACGCCCATCATCAACAGGCTAATCTGCAAACGGATCAACGACCAGTTTGGCGGCCAGCTGAAAATGATCGGTGTCAGTTCCGCTCCGCTACACGAACGTACGCAGTCCATCATCGCCGCAGCGCTCAATGTAAAGATCAACCTCGCCTATGGCAGTACTGAAAATTGCGGTAAATTTACATAAAGTTTGAAAGAAGTGTTAAAAACTGTGATTTTTTACAGGTCCTGCCTCCGCGCTTCACATTGATGATTTGGCGCTTGGCAGCTGTGGCGTTCCATACCACAGCTTCAAGTTCTTTCTCAAGGACTGGCCTGAAGGAGGGTACTACACTACGGGAGGAAGAAGTAGTGATCTGCCACGGGGAGAGATTTACTTGGGAGGCGACAGCATCGCTTCTGGATACTACAAACTGCCTGAAGAAACTGCAGCCTCTTTTATTGTGGATCCAGATGGAACTCGCTGGTTCAGAACGGGAGATATTGGCGAAATGGCGCACAATATGACGCTGAGAATAATTGGTAGATTTTAAAAAGTTTTTGAAAAGCAAAAATGACATCTAATCTCTTTTTCTGCAGATCGCCGAAAGGACCTCATGAAACTTGCTAACGGCGAGTTTGTCTCACTGGGCAAAATTGAGTCCGGTCTGCGAAACTCTCCCTACGTGGAGAACATTTGCGTGTGCACCGATTCCTTTAGCAACTACGTCACAGCACTGGTTTCGCCCAACCGAAAGGCTATGAATGAGCTCGCCAAACGACTGGGCAAGCAGATGG